GGTCGGACTCAATGATCTATTGAGGTCCCTTCCGACCCTAACATCTATGAATCTATGGATACATGGAACACTAGCAGGGGTAGAAAGGGAACCATATGTGATGTTTGGCCCCTGCTAGGGGGCCAAACATTACACGACCTCACGATGCTTTGCAAAAGGCAGATAAGGAAACTGAAGTGTGAAGTTCAAGATAATACAAGAAAACTATGGCCAAGTTAGAAAGAGAACTTAGATTTTGTCTAAGCATTGGCAGTGCAGCTGCACTGCCAACTAAGATAGTCTCAGTACTTGGAGAAAAAAAATCTATTAATTTAGCATATAGAAACTATATTAGAATCCTTCTGAAAACAATGTGAATGTACTGGGATTATGGCTAGCAGGATTAAGTTGGTAAGTATTAAAAAACAAAACAGGAATGTTCAATAATTTTACTTTCATTCAGTCACATATCTGCATTAAGATGTGAATCAAACTGGTGATCAAAATGCTTTATTAAAACTTCACTTCTGACCCCTGATTTTAAATCTATCATTTCTGTAGAAGTTATTGCCTTGTCTCCCATTCTTGAAATTGGAGAACCCTTGGCCTGCCTCACGTGGTGTTTCTTCTAGTTCAGGTAACTCAGTGGCTACAGCCAGCTGCCAGCGCCTTGAATCTTGCCATTTTTCCTGAAAAAAAGGAGTTTCATGTGTTCATTCAAACAAAACAGGTGATGTATCTGCCTCAACTCACATGTCTGTTTGCACAGAACCTTACAAATCTTGTGAAAAACTGCAAAAATACTCTCTCTCAGAGGGGTTGTTAGCCACATGGCAAGGCAGGGTAGAATGTTCATCTATGTAAGCTGTAGTCTACAAAAACTCATTCTCCCCCGTCCCTTCCCCAAAGCTGAAAACCCATTTGAAAAGACGTTTCAAAATAAACCCCTCAGGAAATTACTTAATCAGACCCCTTTTATGAGAAAGCTGTACCATATTTTGCAAACCCTTAAAATTCAAAAGCTTGACAAAATACAAGCATAATCACAAGCAGCAGAAATGGTGAGTCAGATACTATTACTACTCTCAGTCAAGTGAGTTGGTGGCAGTCGGAAGGCCAAGGCCTCCACAAAAACTAATACAGGATTTTGTTAAACAAAAAAAAAAAGGATGATGTTTATGGTAAGGGCAACAGATGGACAAGCGAGAGTTAGAACCAAAGAAACGCATTTAGAGAGGGATAGATGCAATACTGTACTCTGCAATGAATGGGCAGGGGTCCTTCTGCACAGAATTTTTTAGTGAAAAAGCCTTTTACTACCAACTGTACAATCTCCCAATTGCCAGCTACAATATGCAGCCTAGGAGAATTATAAACATGTTAAAAGCCCCCTAGCAACTCAAACATACCTGTATATGACTCAATTCAGCTACAGGGACATCAAAGCACACACCCTAAATGCAAGAACAGAATCATTTACTCTTCTACTGGCATTCAGAAAGAGATTTTTATAAAATTAACTTTACAGAATAGACGTTTGAAATATTATTTATTAATTCCAAGTAAACCTAAATGCAACACAGCAGCCAGGAATTAGCAGCTGCTGTATGCCTGTTCCACTTGTACCCTTCCTTTTTAATATAGTGAGGGACATATAACAATTTCAGATTTGCATATTTATATCAAGAATACAAGACTGCACTGATGAATACTGAATACCTGGCAAACAAGAATGGGCAACAATGGGACAATTGATTTAAATCCAGATATAACATGATAGAGAATTGTAATAAACAGAAAACTACCTTCTTTGTCATTGAGTTTCATTGGAAACTCAAACATCTTTTACCAACCTTGAGGCTCTTATTTTAAAGCCAAAGCCATTATCAATCTTCAGTGGAATTAAAGAAAATGCATTTAAATTGTCCATTTACACCAGCCAAAACATTAAAAATCCCATGCACCAAAAAAGGCAATCCATTTTACCGTCTTTCCCTTGAGAAAACGTATTCTGAATACTTTATTATCTATTTCTTCACCAAGCTGTTCTTTTAGTCCTCGCCAAGCATAGCCAATGCTGTGCATTTCTATTGAGCATTTTAATGTCATTGTCACGTATCCCTTTAAAAAAAAAAAACAAACAAACAGTAAAATACCTTTACAATGAGAAGCTAAACTTGTTTGAGGCAAACTATATCTAATCTGTCCAACTAGATCTAATCTGCTGCATACCTCTTTGAAACTGTATGGTAATATTGGAGGTGTTGCAGTTCTGCTAATAAAGGGACTTCCTGAAAACCTCCAGAAGCTGAGGGCGCTCATCTATTTAAAGCCCCAGGAAAACGTTACACTTAATCTGTTAATCGTGTTTTAAGTAGTAACTTGGCCACATGTTCAGGGAATTAATGGTGCCACAAAAAGGGAAGCAAGCCAAAAACAAATATTACACATTTTTTGTGTAGTATTTTTAGGCTGGTTTCCATCAGGCTTTGAACAGGCAGCAGTGCTAGGATTGCACCAGGGTCTCCAACTAGGTCTGGTGCGGTCCTGGCAAACCATGAGCCGATACCTTGGTAAGGCCCTTATTCTGCTGACAAGCAGCAGATAGTCAGCTGATTGAAAGCTGGATGCCTGACAATTTGCCAAGTAGGGGGGGATTCTGCGATCATGATCACAAAAGATCATGATCCCAGGCTCCCCCTGCACTGGCAAGTAGCATATGATTGGTATCTGGTAACTGTTCCCCAAAATAGCACATCCTGCCATGCATGGCACAGTTGTTGGGGTTGGGGATCGGGTTTCATTGTGCCTTTAAATTAACATCCATTAGCGGTCTATTGAATGCAAATTGTTGGCAACTAAGGTTTTTGGGGTGGTTTATTTTTTTAAAGGGTTTTTTGTTGGAAGTGGAGGAACATTGGAAGGTGGCATGTATGTTGGAAAGTGGCACGTATAACCCCACACAAAGATTTCAACAAATAAACAAACCAAACTTTGCACAGGTTACTATACAGAAAGCTGGCCACAAAGTGAAATACAGTGTACTGATTCCAAAACAGATTACTAGGGGTGCACCAATAGAGATTTTGGGGGCCAATACCAATAGCAGATTTTTAAGGAGGCATGCTGGCCTATACAGATCCGATTTCCAATATAGCATGGAGAGCTGCATGCAACTCGTAAGTCTGTTGTGGTGGAAGGGGAGTGGGGAGGGAAGGGGGGGAGAGGGGGCAGATCAAGTCTCCTATGGTGAGGGAGGAGTGGGGCTGGGGCTGGGCCACGGGATGAAGCCACGGCTCACCGAGGAGACATGGAGGGGGAGGGAGGGGGGAACGACAGGACGGGAAAAACTTATGCTGCTGCGCATACCCTGGGAGGGCATGGGGGGCATATAGTCCTGGATCTGTATGGGGCACAGGCAGAGTGG